ACGGCCATTCGTGTCTCTGTGGACAGCAGGCAAAAGAGCGCCGCCTCCAGTTATTTGCGAGGGCGACAGCTGTAAGCTTTGTTGTCGGTTGAATGTGGGTGCGCCAAGTCCATGGACTTGCTAGTATTAAACGCGTTTTAAGGGCACGCCTCAGCGCCAAAACTGTGGCGATTAAACAAGGCAGGCTTCGGTTGGGTTACCCTCGTGTCGAGACAGTCAGCAGGCACAGGCTTCGCGGCTTAACCGATGGATGTATATTTCCGACCCTGCGTGGGCGATGCGGCGACAAGCTCATATGGCTGCGCCGCCGCAGCCATCGTTCAACGTCGTGTATCTGGTATTCTTCGATTCATACCGACACGCAGTTTGCTGCGGTCTTCGCCGACCCGCGAGCGAGTGATCCCCCGTTAAGAGTTGTGTATTTGCCATTTGGTCTTTTTGCGACTAACCATCACAGGTCGAGTCTCAATGAAAATGAAAGGGTTTGACAGACATAGCCCAAGTTTGTGGTTTGGGTTTGGCCGGACGGCTTGTTGTTGTTTTTTGACACTTGAATTTCACTCTTTTTGGGTCAAGAGGCTTATTCGCCGGTAGTAAGGAACGGACGGGCAGCCGTCCAAAGCCCCGTCCGTCCTCCTCCTCCGGTCTTGGCGCTCTCGCCCGAGTGTGGTCCACCTACAGCGTGGTGGTACCTATTTTTGGTGCGGGGGCCGGGATTGGCCTCTTTCGCTGCTGGAGTTGCCAGAGCAGAGCCCGAGACCGCCCAAATCAGGAGAGTAGTAGTAGTTTTAAGAGCGCCCCGTTCTCTTTCTCTCTGTTAATGATCCTTCCGCAGGTTCACCTACGGAAACCTTGTTACGACTTTTACTTCCTCTAAATGATCAAGTTTGGACATCTTTCCGTCAGCTCGAGGCGACGACCCCAGAAAACCCTCGCGGGCAACGGGGCCGACAATCCAGGAGCGCCAGTCCGAAGGCCTCACTAAATCATTCAATCGGTAGTAGCGACGGGCGGTGTGTACAAAGGGCAGGGGCGTAGTCAAAGCGCAAGCTGATGACTTGCACTTACTGGGAATTCCTCGTTCATGGGAAACAATTGCAAGCCCAATCCCTATCAAGAAAGGCTTTGAGCGGGTTACCCGCTCCTCTCGGAGAAAACTCGTTGATCCTTCAGTGTGGCAGCGTGCGGCCCAGAACATCTAAGGGCATCACAGACCTGTTATTGCTGAATCTCGTGCGGCTAGAATTGCCGCTTATCCCTCTAAGAAGAAGTTGCGAACTGGACACCATTTTCTGGAGATCCGTCGACTACTTAGTAGGCCAGTCTCGTTCGTTATAGGAATTAACCAGACAAATCGCTCCACCAACTAAGAACGGCCATGCACCACCACCCACCGAATCGAGAAAGAGCTCTCAATCTGTCAATCCTTCCGGTGTCTGGGCCTGGTGAGGTTTCCCGTGTTGAGTCAAATTAAGCCGCAGGCTCCACTCCTGGTGGTGCCCTTCCGTCAATTCCTTTAAGTTTCAGCTTTGCAACCATACTTCCCCCGGAACCCAAAGACTTTGGTTTCCCGGAAGCTGCCCGCCGGGTCATGGGAATAACGCCGGCGGATCGCTAGTTAGCATCGTTTATGGTTAGAACTAGGGCGGTATCTGATCGCCTTCGAACCTCTAACTTTCGTTCTTGATTAATGAAAACATCATGGCAAATGCTTTCGCAGTAGTTCGTCTTCTGACGGTCCAAAATTTCACCTCTAAGCGTCATAATCTGAATGCCCCTTGTCCCGATTAGTCATTACCTCTGGTTCCGAAAACCAGCAAAATAGAACGAGGTCGTATTCCCATTATTCCATGCATCACCATTCAGGCCATTCAAATAGCCTGCTCCTGAGCACTCTAATTTTTCCAAAAGTAAACTCTCCGGCCACTCGGGACACTTCGACAAAGAGCATCACGTCGCAGCTGAGCGGCCAGGCGGCTGTTGAATGACAGTAAACACCCGGGCGGTGCACCGTCAGTCGGAATTTGAAGATCCAACTTCTGACTTTTAACCGCAACAACTTTAATATCGCTATTGGGCTGGAATTACCCGCTGGCTGCTGGCACCAGACTTGCCCTCAATGGATACTAGATTAAAAGTTTAAAGTGTACTCATTCGATTCGCGAGGCCTCGGATGAGACTCGCATCGTTATTTTTCGTCACTACCTCCCCGTGCCGGGAGTGGGTAATTTGCGTGCCTGCTGCCTTCCTTAGATGTGGTAGCCGTTTCTCAGGCTCCCTCTCCGGAATCGAACCCTGATTCCCCTTTACCCGTTATAGCCATTGTAGGCACATAACCTACAATCGAAAGCTGATAAGGCAGACACTTGAAAGAAGCGGCGCCGGTGCGGAGACCGTGCGCTCAGCCCGAAGTTATTCAGATTCACCACAGGTGGGTTACGGACCGGGGCCCGACCAGTTTTGAACTAATAAAAGCGCTCTTCCCTTGCGGTCAGAGACCAATTGCATGTATTAGCTCTAGAATTGCCACAGTTATCCAAGTAAGTGGGTTTACAGATCCAATGAAACATAGCTGATTTAATGAGCCATTAGCGGTTTCGCCTTAAATCGGCTTGTACTTACACATGCATGGCTTAATCTTTGAGACAAGCATATGACTACTGGCAGGATCAACCAGGTAGCTGCTGCTGTTGGCGGCGCCTATCACGGCGGCCAAAATAGTGAGATTGAGAGAGAGGCAGAAGACATTGGGCGAGGGACCGCACGTTGGCCTTAGAGAAATAGCAAACCAGATGATCAGATCTAACTGCACCTTCTCTTGCTATCCTCGGCGCCGGCAGCGCCACCGTGTGTGCCAATCTCCTCCCTTATCCGCTCCTCTTTGCCCCAGCTCCAGCGAGGCAGCCGACATTGGGCGAGGGACCGCACGTTGGCGAATCTCCTCCTTATCCGCTCCTCTTCTCTTTGCCCCAGCGAGGCAGAAGACATTGGGCGAGGGACCGCACGTTGGCCTTAGAGAAATAGCAAACCAGATGATCAGATCAAACTGCACCTTCTCTCGCTATCCTCGGCGCCGGCAGCGCCACCGTGTGTGCCAATCTCCTCCCTTATCCTCTCCTCTTCTCTTTGCCCCAGCGAGGCAGCCGACATTGGGCGAGGGACCGCACGTTGGCCTTAGAGAAATAGCAAACCAGATGATCAGATCAAACTGCACCTTCTCTTGCTATCCTCGGCGCCGGCAGCGCCACCGTGTGTGCCAATCTCCTCCCTTATCCGCTCCTCTCCTCTTTACCCAGCTCCAGCGAGGCAGCCGACATTGGGCGAGGGACCGCACGTTGGCCAATCTCCTCCCTTATCCGCTCCTCTTCTCTTCTCTTTGCCCCAGCGAGGCACAAGACATTGGGCGAGGGACCGCACATTGGCCAATCTCCTCCTCTCTCTCTTTCTCTTACTGTTTGTGGGGACGTGGGCTCATGAGCGCCATCGTCGCCCAATATTGGTTAGGTTGTGTATTTCACGGGTGGGAACCGCCATCATCGTTGTTAGGTGATGGGGTAACCCAACGTGTGCTTTGACGAGTTTTGGCTGCTAAACTCTCTTTTTAGTATACTCGGCTCCCAGACTGCGCCCTGGTCGTGTTGAACCATGAGCGTTGTCTATGCACATTTAGGGTAGCCGTTTGCGCGTGGAATAGTGCAATGAATCTCGGTCAAGAGACGGTTGGGCGCTGCATTGAAGGCCGGCACAGACGCGAAGGCGGGGTGATCAGCCAACGCAAGTCCGCTAAGTTGGGCAGACAGCAAGGCGAAGGGGAGCCCCGTTCCGGACTGAAAGGCCGCAGCATATGCTGTGACGGAAACTAGTAGGGTGGCGACGTGTGCGCCGAGAGAGAGAGAGAGAGAGACGGAGTAAATAATGTCCAAACGGAAGAGAGACCTGGCAAGTGTAATTGATAGAGCGCGAGCCTACTCGCCATAAGCCCGCTCCACTGCCATTCCTCTGATCCAATGAGACTAAAATCTCTCTCTCTCTCCTTCTGCTCCAGCCATTGCAGGGCAGGGAAGCGACGGCAATTTTGTTTGTTGTTTTTGAATGCCGCGCTTTGCTTCGCAGAGGCGCCGAAGCGCTCCGCTGGGGGGCGGAAGATATTTCACACCGAATATGTGT